TGCTGCTCTTGAGAGACCAAGATGAGTGTGCGATGAATCCAGTCTTTAGTACATGTTCTCTGGGAACTCTCCTGCCACCAAAGGTTATTAGCACCTTTCACCAACCGTTGACTTAAAATTTAATTGTCATGGTCAGTAGGTGGCATAGAGGTTAAAGAGCTGGATATCCCTTGGCTGAATGCATTGTTCAAGTCCCAGACATGGTGGCTTGAACTTCACGCTGCATGCGTATGCATATACATTCAAAATCCTGACAGGAGACTAGAGGTGAAAGAATTGTAGCATGGCCATCCTGCTGAGGGGCAATTTTTCACATTCCTTCTTTGTGTGTGTGTGTCTCTCTCCTGCTCTCCTGCAAGTACACATGTTCTATCACAAAAACCTTAAAAACATTTTTAAAATTAAAAAAGAAATTGTTATTTATTGTATCATTTATGTAACATTGGGTAATTACAAGAGATTACAACCGATCCATAAACATAAGGATGGCCAGCTCTGTGGACCTCCTTACAGTGGATTGAAGTTAGAAACTTCTATGTTTTATTTCATTTCATTTTTACACAATACCATTCCAGTAGGACACACTATTAGCAAACTCATTCTACATTGCAGAAATGGGACTCAGGAGAGTTAAATCATGACCTGAGTTAAGGATAAAGTTTTGACTAAAACTTCATCCAGATGTTTCCAGATCTCAGGTGTAGACATGGAATAAACAAAAAGGAAATATCAGTTCAAGGAAAAAATGGAAACATGTCAAAACTCCAACTGTAAGAGGAAAAGAGTGTTCATGTGGTTCTGTTTTCTTAAGCTTATATTTTAATTTTATGTCATTTAATCATTGTATGTTCTTACAACATATAATGTGGGTTCTCAAAGCATAACTAAATTGCATGTCGAGCATGTCAAAGATACTAATTTTTATTCTTAAATGTTCTCTTTTTTAGCTTTTTTATTTTTACTATTAATTAAACTTTTTATTTGGGGAAAATTACAAATTAACATGCATTGGTAATAAATATTGTAGAGAGATCTACGTGTACTTTAGGCAGTATCCCAGTGGAACCATCCTGCAAAACCATAGTACAATATCATGCCAGGTTATTAACATAGATAATTTCAAAATATGGAATAGTTACATCAACACAAGGACGACCAGCTCTGCCCTCTTGCAGCCATGTCTACCTCCTTCTCTGTCCAGTCCTTCACCTCTAGTAACTACTAATCTACTCACTGTTAGTACAATATTATCATTTCAAAATGTTTCAGAGAATATAAAAATATCTGCAAAGGCAAGTGGTAGAATAATTAATTCTGGAAGCTGGTTTTCAGGGTGACTACAAATTGCACTGTGGAAAATGAGCTGAACCAAAAACTGGATCTTCAAGGTGGGAAAAGAATCTTTGCATCAAAGTTTTAAATATAAAGTCAAACTATAAAACTAATATTAGAAAACTCTTGAAGACATTTGAGTAGGCAAAGATTTCTTATATAAGACCTCTTAAAGCACACTCTTAATCCCAAAAATATACAAGTGGAATTATATCAACCTAAAAAGCTTCTTCACAGCAAAGACAACAATTATTGTGGGAAAAAAAAAAAACTCTCAGAATAGGATAAAGTACTTGAACGTTATTTCTTAGGCAAGGGATTGATAACCAAAACATATAAGGAATTCAAGAAGCTTACTCATTAAAAAAATGAATAATCAAATTGAAAATGGGAAAATCAGGGCCAGCAGTTTACATGGTGGTAAAGGCACTGGACTCCCACATGGCTACAGTGTTTTGGGTCCTGGACCTGGCAGCTTGTTTTTTCACTCTCCCTCTCTCTGTCTTTCTGTCTTTGTCACTCTCTGGTCATATTGAAGAAGAATAATAAATAAAATTGAATAAGTAATTCTAAAAAAGGGGCAAATAAACTGAATAGACAACTCTCCAAGGAAGACTGACAAATGGCCAAAAGGCATATGAAAAGTTGTTCAAAATCACTTGTCATATGGGAAATGCAAATTAAAACCATGGTGAGATACCATTAAACCTCAGTTAGAATTACTAGACTCAAGAAAATAAAGAACAAGTTCTGGCAAGTCTGTGGTGAAAAGAGAACCATCTTACTTTGTGATTGGTAAAGTATGTTTGTACAGCCTCTGTGTAAAACAATGTATAGTTTCCTCAACTACTTTGTGGCCCAGTAATCCCACTCCTTGGTATTTACTCAAAGGAAAACAGTCAGAAAGACACGCATTCATGTTTATTGTTGCATTATCCATTATCGTTAAGACATGGAATCAACCTAAGTGTCCAAAACCTGATGACTGAGTTGAAAATGCTGGCACATATACACTATGGAAAGTAACTCAGCCATAAGAAACAATTACACCCTTATTGTTTGATTCACAATATATGAATATAGAGGACTTAATATTAAGCAAAGCGAGCTAGACTTTGAAAGAGGCACACAGCCTATTCCCACTAAATATGTCCTGAATGTCTGCACTCTATGGCATAAATGAAAAGATCCAAAGATATGATAGTAGAGAGGCTAACTGTAGATAGCAGAGATTGTTAGTGGGGACAGTGGGTGATTGAAAGTGAGTGGGAAAAGAGAAGGAATGAAAAACAGACAAAAGATTGTAACATCCTGTTTTTAAAAATCTGTAATTTTAGCTTTAAAAAATGAAATGAAAAAGAAAACCTTTTAACCAGCTATAAAACACACTAGATGCCAAAGTCTACATTATCAACAAGAGCAATTAAGGTCTTAATATATGATGATGAAGGACCCAAAAGTGAAGAACTTTGGCCTCAAATATATTTCTCCCTCAAAGTATTTAAATGGTTTTGCTTTCTAAGCACAGTTTGTTTGTTTGTTATTTTACCTAAAGGAGTACCACTCACTACTGTAGCTTCAGTAAAACAAAAGAAATAATACTCACCATGATCTATGCCTCTTGAGAAGAAATAGCTCCTATGAAACCTACATTGTCCAACAAAATGACCGAGAATTTACAAATCATTTTGGTGAGAGTATGGAAATGACTTTGGAAAAGTAGGAAAATGACAAAGGGAAAACAGTTGGATATCAGAGAGAACAAAAAGCTTAATTTAAAGGCTTACTTAAATTTTATAGAGAGACTTAAAATATCAGAGGAATGGAAACTCCCAGCACTCATAGAAAGACCATGTTCTACTCTCAAAATATGATTAAGAATCAAGAAAATAGCTCTGAGACATTGAGGCCTGCAATCAGGGAAACCTATTCTATTCCAGCAAAATTGGTGTTTTTATACCTTTCCACTGAATAATCTTTTCAGAGCCCTCTTTATGTCTTTATTCCTCAGACTGTAGATGAAGGGGTTCAGCATGGGGGTGACCACAGTGTACATCACTGAGGCTGCTGCACTGGAGAGTGAGCTGAGGGTAGCACTCGCGCTAAGGTACACTCCTAGACTCGTACAATAAAATAAGAAGACAACTAAGAGGTGAGATGCACAGGTGGAAAATGCTTTGTACTTTCCCTGAGCTGATGAGATTGCACGAATGGAGGAAACTATCTTAGAATAAGAGTAAAGTATCCCAGTGAGGGGACCACCACCCAGGAACACAGATGAAAAATAGATCAATAAGTCATTGAGAAAGGTGTCAGAACAGGAAAGGTGGAACATCTTACTAAGATCACAGTAAAAGTGGGGAATTTTCACATGTGTACAGAAGGACAGCTGCAACACCATTAGGCTATGTAATAATGAATACAGGGCACTCATGGTCCACAAAGCTAGAATTAGTTGTTCACAGAGCCAGGAGTTCATGATGATCGTGTAGTGCAGGGGTAGACAGATGGCCACATACCGGTCATAGGCCATCACTGTCAGGAGAAAGCTATCTAATGCTCCAAAGAGTATGAAAAAGTATATCTGAGTGATACAGCCTGCATAAGTGATGACCTTGTTCTGTGTCTGGATGTTTACCAGCATCTTTGGGACAGTGGTGGAGATAAAACACATGTCAGCAAAGGAGAGGTTGGAGAGGAAGAAGTACATGGGGGTGTGCAGGTGGGAGTCTGAGATGGTGACCAGGATGATGAGCAGGTTTCCATACACAGTGATCAGGTACATGGAGAGGAAAAGTCCAAATATGAAGGGCTGTAATTGTGGGTCCTCTGAAAATCCCAGAAGAAGAAATTCTGAAATTTGTGTATCATTTCCTAGTTCCATGGTGATTACCTGAAAAGAGGAAAATAATATGGCTGATTTTACATGGACAGGTATTACTCTCATAGTTGAAATGACATAGTTAATATTTTGTAGTCACAAAGTAATGTTTTATATTTTTGTATGGATCTAATCTGCTTTAGGCTTTTATCATGCCATCTATGCTTAGGAACTTCTTATCTCAACTCCTTATTCTCATAAATCATGTATTCTGCAGGATTTTGTTTTGTTATGTTTTGTTTTTGTTTTTATTTGTATTTTGGGGGGATTTTTTTGAGGGGGAGAGGTTTTCGCTATAGGGCGCGAGTGCACACCCAGACAGACAGAGAGAGAGACAGAGAGAAAGCGAGAAATCACCCCTCAGGGGGTTTGGTCATGCCGCAATCCCTTCTCCTCCATTCTCCTCTCGGGATCTTGGGCACGCATGCACACGTGCCCAGCGTGAGTTTTAAGCCACCGGGTCTGGGACGCAAACCACGGCGAATACGTGGGAGTCCAGCAACATAGCCATTACGCTAACTGCTGGTCCCTCTGCAGGATTTTTAATTTATTTATAAATTTACAAATAATAATACTACATATTTATGGAGTAAAACGTAGTGTTACAATGAGATTTTATTTGATTTTTTTGTTTTGTTTTTAGCTTTGCTATTAGGCACATGCACTCACCAACAGAGAGTGAGAGAGAGAGGGAAAGTGAGAAATCACTCCCCATAGGTAATAGCCATTCCACAATGCTCTCTCCTCTCAGGATGTTGACCATGTGCGATCCAATACGTTAACCACTATACTATCACCTGTCTCCAAAACTGTATCTTTATATTTATTGAAAAACAACTCTGGGGCCAGCAGGTGACATAAGGTGCTAGACTCACAAATGGCCAATTGCAGTTTGAGTCTTGGACTGGTTACTTAATTTCTCTCTCTCTTTCTGTTTCTCTCTGGTCAAATTTAATAATAATAATTAATTAATTAATATAAATAATTCTTTCTTTAAAAAAAGAAAAACAACTGTGATCCTCCCTTTTGCCAATCCCCTGGCAACCACCATTCTGTCTTCTGTTTCTATGACTTTGACTACTTCAGGTATCTACGTTAAGTGGAATTGCTCAGTATTTAATTTCAAAATTATTCCATGGACTGATTTCCTTATTTTTTTCTGTTGATTAGTATTCAGACAACTGTATTATAAGATCATTGTTTGGGGGTCCAAGAGGTGTCATAGTAGTTAAAGTGCTTGACTCCAACATGGCTAACTGTGGTTCAAGTCCTGAATGCAGCAATTTGAAAATTGCACTGGACACAAGTGCAAGCATGCCCAAAATCTCATAAGAAGATTGGGAAGTAGGTATATCAGTATGTACAGTCCCCAGGGGTATGACTTCTCATTTCTCATTCTCTCGCTCTCTCTCAAGCAAATGTACCCTATGGCAATAAAGGAAAAAGTATTTATGTTTACTACTGATGTAAAATAATTTTTCCAAGTTAATAAAAATATGTAGTGGATGGGTATGCACACAATATCATAGCCTATTAGATTTGATCATGCAAAATCTATTAATTTTTCACATTTACCCAATATATAGCTATATCAATCGATACGTAATATAATTCAAAGATATTCTTAAATTTTGTTTTAATAATTCAATTCATTATTTAAAAAACTCTAAATTATATTCAGGCCCCAGAACATAAAAACAAAACACTTGCATGATTTTCAATAAATTAAAAAGCTAATAGACTCAAGGCAGAAGAAGCCAGGCCTTCAGAAGAAGGTTCCACATGGCTCCAGCGAACTAGATTTTTCAGGGAATGAAGGTTTTCTACTGATAATTCAGCCTCCAACAAACAAGCTAGCACAATCACAACAGAACGGCAAAGAGATTCTAGATCACCTCTGTCTGCTTGCTCCTGAACATTAAGGCTGAACTACAAGAATTTGAAAGAAACACAACATCCATCAGATGACAAGAAATCACCACCAGATCATGAGAAATATGGGAAAATGAGAAAATACCTCTCCTCCAAGGGAAAAGAGTAACTCTTCTTCATCCACAAGCAGTTCAGTGAAAATCATGGAAATGTTGGATAAGGAGATCATTCATAATGTCTAAGCTAACAGAGATGGAAGAAAAGAGAGATAATGAACTGGTAAAGAGAAAGGAGAAAGAAGTTGACGAGTTTCAGGGGATGAGGAAATTCTTGCAAGATCTAAAAGAGGAATTACACACTTTACAAAAGACTCAAACGGAACTGCTAGAGATGAATTCTATAATACAAGAAGTCAAAATCTCCCTTGAAAGTATTAAAA